GACAGTCATATGATTTGCTATGTCATGGATGATAAATTCAAGAGGAATAGTCTCACATTCATCATCAAAATGACTATTTCAAGATCTAAAATGCTATTTGTGATAGAATAATATCTATATGCCTACAAGGAAGACCAATTAATATAACTGTTACTCAGATTTATCCACTAACATGAAAGCAAATGATGAAGAAAATGAAGAATTTTACCAACTTCTTTACTCTGAAATAGATCACACATGCAATCAAGATGCATTGACAATTATTGGTGATTGGAGTGAAAAAGTTGAAAACAAAGAGGAAGAAATCCAAAGTTTGAAAATATAGCCTTCATGAGTGAAATGATGCTAGAGATTGCATGATAGACTTTTGCAAGACCAACAACCTCACTGCAAATACCCTTTTTCAATAACATAGACAGTGGTTATACATGTAGACCTCAACAGATGGAATATATAGGAATCAAACTGACTACATCTGTGGGGAAAGAAGATGGAGGAACTCAATAACATCAGCTAAAACAAGGCCAGGGGCCAACTATGGAACACACTATCAATTGCTCATATGCAAGTTCAGCCCAAAACTGAAGAAAATCGAAACAAGTCCACAGAAGCCAAAATACAACCTTGAGTATATCCCATCTGAATTTATAGGCTATCTCAAGAACAGATTTGACACATTAAATACTAATGGACAAAGACCTGAGGAGTTGTGGGATGACATAAAAAAATATCATACATGAAAAAAGCAAAAAGTTCATTTAAAAAACAGGGAAAAATGATCATATTGATTGATGTAGAAAAGACATTTGACGAAATCCACCATCCATTCCTGATAAAAACACTCAACAAAGTAGGAATTGAAGGGAAATTCCTCAACATAATCAAGAACATATATATAAAACCAACAGCAATATTACTCTCATTGGAGAGAAATTGAAAGCCTTCCCTCTGCAAACAGGAACCAGACAAGGATGCCCTTTGTCACCAGTCCTATTCAATATTGTTCTGGAAGGCTTAGCAAGAGCTATACGGCAAAACAGGGAAAATAAAGGCATCCAAATTGGCAAAGAGAAAGTAAAACTCTCTCTGTTTGCAGACGATGTGATCTTATACCTAGAAAACCCCAAAGACTCAGTAAAAAAGCTACTAGCCCTCATTGGAAGATTCAGCAAAGTAGCAGGATATAAGATCAACATACAAAAATCAGTTGGATTCCTCTATACCAAAAACAACAGTGCTGAAAAGGACATTAGGAAAGCAATACCATTTACAATAGCCACCCAAATGCTGAAATATCTAGGAATAAATGTAACCAGAGAAACAAAGCACCTATACAAAGAAAACTACAAAACACTATTACAAGAAACCAAAAGAGACTTGCAAAAATGGAAGAATGTACCATGCTCCAGGATAGGAAGACTTAACATTGTGAAAATGTCAATGCTGCCCAAAGCAATTTACACATACAATGCAATCCCAATCCAGATTCCAATGACATTCTTCAAAGAGATGGAAAAAACTATTACTAACTTTAAATGGAAAGGAAAGAGACCCAGGATAAGCAAAGCACTGCTTTAGAAGAATAATAGGTTGGAAACCTCTCACT